TTTTTGAAGATGGGACTTGCTCGGGAGCTGTGTTGCTACATGGATCTGATGGGTGTGCCCGAAGGAAGAGTCAAAGTGGTGGGGTGGGGAAATGTAGATGTGGTTCTTGGTTTGGACAAGTCCCTCCTTCTTGGAATTTGGTGGCATCTGAGGTCTCTGGCAGCTCAAGCATCTAGCAAATTCCACTCGTTGCAGCTGCTCAAGGGTGCACTTTTGTGCCCTGTCCCTGAAGACTGGGTAGAGAGTGAGGTGCACAGTAAAAAGCAGGTACTAAACGTGATGGTTTCCTTCTGTTTCTAACCCCTGAGGAAACCACAAACTGCTAAAAAAAAAAAAAATCTGTTAAACATATAACTATTAAGCTGATTTTATATTCAGGTATTTCAAAAATAGAAGATGAGCATAAAGATGGAAGAATTGATGCTTTCTAAAGACAACAATTGGCGATGTTTGTAAATGGAGAGATTTCTGCCAAGGAGTACAAAGCTCAAGACTGAGGTTTCATTGATTCTTGCCAAAAGATTGGCACAGAGTGTATTTCACTTGTTATCAGTGTTTTTCCTTGTTGTCTCCCAAATACAACAGTGAGTTGTATTTGAGGGGCAAACCGACCCTCTGGGAACACTGCTTCTAGCACAGCAAACCGATCAGGGTGGGAGGCGCTAAGGTTGAGCCTCATCAGAGCAGCTTCTGCTGCCAGAAAGCATGTCCCCCACCCTGTCCCTGCCAGAGCTGGTTAAGGCAGCAGCCCCCTGCCTCACCCCCACCCCACCCAGCTCTGACAAGAAGTTGACAGCCTGCACACAGAGGCCAGCGAAAGGAACAAATATGCCTGTGTTTCATGAACATTAAAAAATTATGTCCTTTCAATATTAGTACCATGTATTTAATACATGCCTACTTTTGGATACATAGTCTTGTACATCTTTATTCATCTTTTTTCAGTCAATGACATTACTTTATTGACCCCCTAAGGGTAATTTTTATTATATGGCTAGTTTTGATTTTGTTTAGACAAAGGTAACAGAATTAAAATACAAATTCCCAGTTCAGTTGAAGCATAAGGAAAGCTTTTGACTGAATGGATTGAGGATAAGGACAGTGTCTGTCTGTCACGCTCAGAGTGAAGAGGAAAGACAAAATTTTGTTCATCAAGTAACATTTTTAAAGAGTACATTTATATATAACTTAATCCAGTACAATTTGTAAACATTCAAGTGACACCATTTTTATAATACTTATGACAAAAAAGATCCTAAATATCATTGCTTAATGCAAATCGAGTATCTTCAAATAATGACAACAGTCAAGATATTTTACATCAATTTGTGCTTTTTTTTTTTACTACTGCTAGCTTCTGGGAAAAGCTAAAATAACATTATATTATAGTAAAAAGGAGGCTTTCCACTTAACAGATATATGCATGTGAACACCAGAATTCACAGCATTTTATAATTCTTTCCCCAAAACAAAAACACCTACACAGTGAAAAACGTTTCTATAAAATTGCCAATTTAATGTTTTCACAAGTACAGAGAGGGCTACTTTTTCCCAGTCACTAATGACAGCAAACACTAGATGTCTAGGAATAAATATATATTTACAGAACATACTTAAGAAAACATCTTAAGAAAGTGGAACCCTACTCACATACTCATCAAAGTGTCTCGGAAACCCACTGGCCTGCACACTGTGGAGGCTGCTCTATGGCCATTGTTCAGTGTGAATGAGCAGGAGAGAAAAGCAGACCTTTCCTAGTGGAGTCCCAGCACATACATAAACAGGAAGTGGACTGGAAGTGGCCAGATTCATTCATCAGAGAAATGCCTGCCATTCAACCAAATTCCCCATGGGGTGAGCATAAATATAAATGTAACATTCCAGGGGTTCAGTCTTCAGCTGTGGCTACAGATTCACTGCAGTGAACATGGTCTTCTCTCTGTAGAGGTGATACCAGAAAACATGAACATTGCATGTGGAGAAAATACACTACTTCATGTGGATGAACCAATTATTAGTTGGGGTGGGGAGGTAAAATTATTTTCCCCAGTTCTGACTGAAGAGTAAATATATATCTATTTGCCAAATGGGGGTTCATTTGACAACAGAACTCAATAGTAAATTCAGATTGGCAGGGAGATTCTATTTTAGTTTTAATCCCACCCAGATAAAGTGATTATTCCTGCAAAATCAACTGGAGAACGAGCTGCAGCTATAGGGGGACAGAATGTGTTATGACTGAAATGGTTCACGTTCCCACTAATGCATCGCATTCTGTGGGATCTGTGGTGAATAAAAAAATAGGACAATTCACAGTTAGCATTTTCTCTTTGAATAGCTCTCAGGTTTCTGTGTTTGTGCTCTTGGTGCCATGCCAAAACTTGCCATTGCATTATAATTTCAGTCCTTAGTTGGTGAGGATTCTTTAAAAATAGCCACTCCAATTTTATAGAGAATTGAAATTGCAAATGTGGAGTTCATAATATCAAACCAATAGTGATAGATTTGAGTGAAAATGGAGGTGAGAGGAGTAGAGCATTTTGGATTGGGGTCAGCTGATGCTTCTGTAATTCTTTTCCACTCCCATGGGTTTTCCATCTGTTAGATGGGTGTGTGGTAACACTTACCTCATATGCCCTTAGAATTGACAGGATGAAGCCTGTTTCATGCACTTTTCTTCTGAGAAGTATTACAGTTAAGGCATTTGAAATCCAAGTTTACATCTAAAAGATGTGATAAATACTTGTCATTATGTAATTTCTAATGAAAGCAGTGTTTATACAACAGATTGCCAAACGGAAAAAATTGAGTGCAATTGCAGATGAGGGTAAAAAATAATTGAGTTAATTTGTGAACACCTGGATGCTAGTCTAAGGTATTTGCATTTTATTCTCTAGGACACGCTACTTTCTGAAATGTGTTTCACAGAATGCTTGTGTGAGAGGGTTTCAGATGTCCAGGGCTAGCTCCGTTGGGCTTAAATTAAGTCCAGGTTTACTTTAGGTGAGGCCTTAAATGTGTCAATGTGCACTGTGATTCTCCAAGAGGGAATTCTATAAAGTGCTTTTCTCAAACTAAACAATACAACTTGGTTGTAGGTATATATGAAAAATGTTCTAGATGGGTACACCAAGTCAACTACTTCTAATACTCCGTGGACACTCAGCCACCTGACACTCACTGCCTTCTATTATATGTATCTTGCACATGACATAGTTTAGTCAGCAAATGAAATGAATAAAATACCTAAATGGTCCTCTATTTTATCACCTGTAAAAATGGGAAAAGAGTAATAAAATCTTTAAAGGATTGAAAAGTTGAAGAAAAGTGGTCACAGAGCATTCTGTGACCAATGACAATTTTTTAAACTTAATAATCAAATTGATACAGATCTATGATTTTTTGAAAACATTTATTTATTTATGCATACAAGGACTGGGGTACAGGCCAGAGGTGTGGGGGGTAAGAGGATTCACCAGAGACAGAGTGGGGAACAGAACAGGTGATTGACTGAAATACACTGCTGAGGGGAGCAGTGGGCAAGTTAGGAGAGGTCTGCTGTGCCATGTGGATAGCTCCCTGTCTGGGAATCAAACTCCTGCTGCAATGGCTGCGGATAGCTTCATAGGTTGCGTCTTAACCCCTTGTACCACAAGGAAAGGCCCCCAGATTTATGATTGAAACAATTAATATAAGAGATGGGGAAAATACATAGGACAGCTATCCAGTTATTGTCTAGAGCTGTGTTATCTTTAACCTTGCTGAAGTCCATTGTAAAGGGGATAATCCACTTACCCTGGAAGGCTCTTGCAATCTGTCTAGCTGCAAGACTGGGTGCAAGAGGTGTTAAAAGCTAGACTGTTCAGGACTGAATCTCAGCCCCGCCTCTTACTATATGTGTGATACTACAGGTGTGGTGCTGGGCACTTGAATTAATTTTTCTGCCTCAGTTTTCACATATGTAAAAGGGGAATAACTAGTATACTTACTTCACTTGGCTATGGTGAGGATTAAAGATAAAATAATAAATGTTGCATAGTAAGAAACATTATCTGTTCTTATTATTATTTCAAATTTGATATGTAATGGAGGAAAGCTCAGGCCTGCTGTAATTTGTACTTCCTAGACTGCAGCCGCTTGGTGTCTTCTTAAATGGATAGCTCACAGCTTATTTTTAAAAAGTATACTCCCCTACCAAGTTCAACAACTGAGGGAGTAGACCCTTTGCTCTCTTACAGAGGGAGGATTTTTATTAAAAAAAAAAAAACACCAATGTTTATTCTTTTATTATTATTAAAGACAAGTACATTATTGATACTAGCTGATATATATTTGGATCATTTTGCCCATTCAATTGATGATCAAATTTGGAAAGACACAGAAAGGCAAACTAGAGCAAGAATTGTATAACATTCTGCAAAGGGATGTGTGATAAGAAAGGAGGATCAATCCTATGAGCTACTGCAAGATATTTCTTAAACGGTTTGATAGTTACTATGACGTGCTGGTATCGTTTCATCACTGTGGTGACTATTTAAAAAGTAATTTAAATAGGCCACTTGTATGGCTCTCACTATAATATTTATTTTGACTGTATCCTTTGTTCACATTAATTTTTCCCAAGTCACTTGACTCTATGGAATTTCTCAAATAAACCAGAAAGGCAGCAAAGGTATTTCAGGGCCTTCCAATAACCTTCCAAATGCTCCCCTGTACTTCTTTTTTTTTTTTTTTTAGATTTATTTTTATTTATTTATTTATGCAAGCACTGGGTACAGTCAGACGTGCGGGAGGGTGAGAGAATTCACCAGAGCCAGAGCGGGGAGCAGAACAGGCAGAAGGACCGAAGTACACTGCTGAGGGGAGCAGCTGGTGGCAGGAGAGGTCTGCGCGCCATGTGGGACCCTCCTCCAGTGGCCGGGCAGCAGCCGGGGATCGAACCAGTGCTGCAGAGGCTGCGGGCAGCTTCGCAACCCGGCGCTCAACTGCTGCGCCACCAGGGAGGCCCTCCCCTGTACTTCTGACAGTGGGACTGTGCAGTGATGCCATCTCAAGCAAAGGAGAAGGAACAGGAACAACACTGTTTGATCCAGTCCTAATAATGGAATCTGAGTTTTCAATTTAATTCATATAGTACAGTAAAATGTATAATCAAGCAAGGTAAAGGAGACTAAACATTTGCCTACGTACATTTAAACTCATTCATGACTTACGTTTCCTTATAAGGATAGTCCTATGGATGAGCAAGATTTTTTTTTAAAGATTTTATTTATTTATTTATACAAGAAGTTGGGTACACATCAGATGCACAGGAGGGTGAAAGGACTCACCAGCGACAGAGCAGGGAACAGAACAGGCAGACTGATGAAATACATTGCTGAGGGGAGCAGTGGGCACTGCAAGAGGGGTCTGTCGTGCCATGTGGGTCCCTCACCGGCAGCTGGGGATCGAACTGGCGCTGCAGAGCCTGAGGACAGCTTCGCAGGCCAGTGTGCAACCACTGTGCCACTGGGGAGGCCCCAATCTGGTAAACTCTATTCTGCCTGAGTGGTAGGCCATCCCCAAATGTTGTTTAAAATGACCCTACCTTTGTTTTTGTTGAGTCTCATCAGCTCTTTGTGATTTTTGTGATCAGTCCTTTATCATTAATGTTGTGTACAAAAATTTTCTCCCAGTCGGTGGGGTTTCTCTTTGTTTTGGTTATTGTCTCTTTTGTTGTGCAGAAGCTCTTTAATTTGATGTAGTCCCAGCTGTTTATCTTTGCCTTCACTATCACTCCTTTGGGTGATGTGTCTATAAAGATGTCTTTCAGGTGCATGTCATGTAGTGTTTCGCCTATATTTCCTTCTATATATTTTATGGTTTCAGGTCTTATGTCTAGTTCTTTGATCCATTTTGAGTTGGTTTTTGTGCATGGTGTGAGGTAGTAGTCAAGTTTCATTCTTTTGCATGTAGCAACCCAGTTTTCCCAGCACCATTTATTGAACAAACTTTTTTTGTTCCAGTGCATACTCTTTGCTCTTTTGTCAAATATTAGTTGACCATAAATCTGTGGGTTTATTTCTGGGTTTTATATTCAGTTCTATTGTTCCGTGTGTCTGTTCTAGTTCCAATACCATGCAGTTTTGATTATTATGGCTTTGTAGTATAGTTTGAAATCTGGGAGAGTGATGCCTCCATTCCCTTCTTTTTTTTTTCAGGAGGGTTTTGGCTATTCGGGGTTTTTGGTGGCTCCCTATGAATTTCATCAATATTTTTTCTATTTCTTTGAAGAATGACATTGAAATTTTAATTGGAATAGCACTGAATCTGTAGATTGCTTTTGGTAGGATGGCCATTTTGATAGGGTTAATTCTTCTGATCCATGAACAGGGGGTGTCTTTTGATTTCTTTGTGTCCCCTTCTATTTCTTTTAACAGTGTTTTATAGTTTTCTTTGTATAGGTCATTTACTTCTTTTGTTAGGTTCATTCCCAGGTATTTGATTTTTTTTTGTTTCAATAATAAAAGGAATGGTTTTATTGATTTCTTCTTCTTCATATTTATTGTTTGTGTATAGGAAGGCTACTGATTTTTCTGTATTGATTTTGTATCTTGCCACTTTACTAAATTGATTGATCAGTTGAATTAGTTTTTCTGTGGAGTTTTTGGGGTTCTCTATGTATATTATCATATCGTCCAAACAAAGAAAATAATCCAGTCAAAAAATGGGCAGAAGAGCTAAAAAGAAACTTCTCCAAAGAGGAAATACAAATGCCCAATAGGCATATGAAAAAATGTTCAACATCACTTGTAACCAGGGAAATGAAAATCAAAACTACAATGAGATACCATCTCATACCAGTGAGAATGGCACATATTAAAAAAACTAGCAACAACAAATGTTGGCGAGGATGTGGAGAAAAAGAAACTCTCCTGCACTGTTGGTGGGAGTGCAACCACTGGTCCACCACTATGGAAAGCTGTGTGGAGATTCCTCAACCTACTAAAGATAGAGCTTCCATATGATCCAGCAATTCCACTCCTAGGTATTTACCCATAGGACACAGAAACATCAATTTCAAAGAGCACCTGCACCCCTATATTTATAGCAGCATTGTTTACAATAGCTAAGCTTTGGAAACAACCCAAATGCCCTAAAATAGATGACTGGATCAAGAAGATGTGGTACATATACACCATGGAATATTACTCAGCAATCAAAAAAGATAAACACATGCAATTTGCAGCAACATGGATGGAGCTGGAAGGGATCATGCTCAGCAAAATAAGTCAGAAAGAAAAAGAAAAATACCGGATGGTCTAACTCATAGCAGGAATCTAGAAAACCTAAATAAGGGACCAGGAAAAAGAATAACTATAAGAAAGAAAAAATCAAAATCAACAAACAACCTTGAACCAGAGACACACTATGGGGGGGGGGCGAGGAAAGGAGAGATTGGGGTCAAAATAAGGGGGTTGCAATTGTATGGGGAATATAAAAATAAAATTAAAAAAAATAAATAAAATGACCCTATCAATCACAATTTTCCTTTTTCTCTGCAATTATATACCAGTTGCAATGATCATTCCCAGAGCTCAGGATATGGAGCTCTGCCACATTCTCCTCCACCAAGGCACAGAGCTCACCCTCTCGGAACACGTGGTAGTAGCGCATCAGATCTCTGGAATCCAAAATGTCAGGCTGTTCTTTGTCAGAAATTTCCTCATCCGGGTTGGAATCTGTGGAACTGACTGCAGAAATCCTTCTCAATATTTTACTAGCAGAGGGGTTACCATCTTCTGAGTTACCTGCATAGACACAAGTCTCCTGAGTATTGGTGCTATCCAGCAAGTTCCCATCCCCACTTCTACCATCTCCTTGATGGTCTCCATTTAGATGTTTCATTGCGGTTGGTTCTCTCAGCCACTCCAAATGTTTTTGAGGTGTCTCCACAAATACTTCTTCATCTAGATTTTGCTCCCTTGTTGAAAATGGCTCTTGGTGATCACAGTCTAAACTAGAATATCTGGAAGGCTGAATAGACACAGGGGTCCTGGCCCAGCCTTCTGTGTTTCTCAAGGGTCTCACTCTCTCACCTTGCTTCCTCAGAGTTGATTCATCTAAGGATCTGGAGGAAAACAAGGAGCGAAAAGATTTTCCTAGTGTGTCATAGAATCCATTTTCTTCTTCATCTTCCTTAGAAAGACCTGCACAGCAGGCTCCAGCCATCACAGGTTCATGATCTAGGCTGTGGGACCGTTTTGATTCACATCGCTCTTTCAAAGAAACACAACAGCTACTTCTAGAGCCAGGAGGGTGGTAGGGGTGGCTGCTTTCTGGGAGTCCACACTGCTTTTTTCTCCCAGGCAGGCTGGATTCTGAGAAGAGCTGGGAACATAAGGCTCTGTTGCAGGGCACGAACACATCTTGCTTCTCAAAGTGCCGTTTCTTTTGTTCCAAGGCCCAAACATAAATCATCAGCTGTCCTCCCGGAACTAAGACTCTGGCCATTTCTTTGATTGCTTTGATTCTTCTTTGTTTTGTAGAAAAATGATGTATGACTGAAAAACAAGAAACTAAATTTCAGTGTATACACACATACATAAACTTATACAGTTGTACTTTAGTATTGCCCATAAAACAGTGATGCAGTTTTGACATGTAGGAGAGTCCCCGGGTTTCCTACAGGGAGGGGCAGGTGGTGGGAACAGGGCAGGCCTGGTTTTAAGAGGGATGTACTTTGGCTCCTGTACTTATTTTTTATTTTTAATTTTTTTTGTGGGACCCTCGCCGGTGGCCGGGGATCAGACTGGCGCTGCAGAGGCTGCAGGCAGCCTCGCAACCCAGCGCTCAACCACTGCACCACCAGGGGAGGCCCATTGGCTCCTATACTTATTAGACAACTGATCTTGGACAATTATTTAACTTCTATGGATTTTAAGGGTTTTTTTTTTGCCTACAATAAGATATATAAGTCATGTGTAAATTCTCCTTCAGTTCCAAAATCCTATGAATTTTGCTAACCAGAAAGAGGATCAGGGTAAGTCAATACAATTTGCAAGGGAACTATAAGTTAACTGAGTGTTCTTTAATGGGATTCTATGAAATAGTTGACTGCTTTCAGGAATGGTTGATACCTTTAAACCAAAAACTTTACAACACTAATCAGTGTTCATAAAATTTAATAAAACAAAGAGAAGTTGAGAAACCTGTTGAAGATTGCTTTCCTCTTTAGATAAAGCCAGCCAACCATAAATCCAAATAATTATTTTTAATTTTTAAAAAGTTAATGTAATATGAAATAGTTGTGAATATTTTGCAGCAATTCAACTTATAGGTCTTCACTTTACTTCTAATCTTGCAAAGTGAAAGTAAAAGTTGAGCAGGATTGCTTTGTTCTAGTATTAAGAGTGTTATTCGGCATATATATTTTTCTTAATCAAACAATACATAGAAAGTGGTAGTGTCTATATTCCTAGGGGACTTTAATCACAGTACTGTGTCAAGAAAAAACAATTATTAGTCCAAAGGGAAGTTCCTCTTTTTCAGCTTTGAGTAGTTAGGGAAGACATAAAAGGTGAAACAGATATTCTAACTCTTACCTTTCTAATCGCTTAACTTCAGTAGATCCCACACTGTTCCCCTAACTCATCCCTAGAGCAAGAGCCCTTGTTAATGGTAATTTGAAAGCACATGCTCCTAAAAGCAGAGTCTTGGTTGCTGAGCTAAAAGGAGGCATTGGATCAAGACTAAGACGTAGGACAATGCTAATGCTTAGATTTAGCTGTGACCACTCATGGCAGTTCTACTCATGGATGTTCATATCTCCCATAACTTGCACCCAATTTACTCTCCAATATATGTGGGTGTATTTTAAAAATTCATTTGATTACTGTTATCTGTGGATTCTGTATTTGACAATTCAGCTATTCCCTAAAATTTTTGTGTTATCCCCAATCAGTACTGTCAGAATTTTTGTGGTCATTCCTTGACATGCACTGAGTGGCAAAAAATTCAGACCTCCCAAAGTGCAAGTTCCAGCTGAGGTCATTCAAATGTGATGATGCTCTGCATTCTTGTTTCAGTTCTCATGCTGCAAACAAGTGTCCTTTTCATAGTCTACTTAGCGCCACCACTTTTGCATTTTTGTGCTATTGATTGATGCTCCTTCTGTTTACAGTGCCCCTGGGGCATAGTGCTGAGTGCTAAGTAGTGTTCCTGAATGTAAGAGGTTCTGAGGTGCCTTACGAAAAATGGACATATATTAGGTGAGCTGCTCTTTCAGGCATGCACTATAGTGCTGCTGACCACGAGTTCAAAATTAAATAAGGTATCTTTAAAACAGGGTTAATTATTGATCAATTGACCAAAAAAAAAAAAATGTGACCAGAGGTTCACAGGCAACGATTTCTCCTGGGGGCAATGGTTTGGATTAACTAATTCACTGTTTGTGGTAACTTTATAAAACATAACTGTAAATAATGAGGATTGACTGTATTCATTTTGGGGGGCTATAAAAGAAAAAAAAACTCTACCATTTAAAAAATAACTTAAAAGTCTTTATATTTCAAGATTCTGGGCTTCAAAAGAAGTTTTTTTTAAGAGAAGAAAAGTCCTTATTAGTTTTTTTAAAGTTTATTATGTGCTCATTCATTTTACAGTTGATCTTAGCCAAAAGGCTGAGAAGTGATATGTGCTCATTCATCTTAATACCATAATTTCATCCCAAAATATCCAAATCCTTTATATTATGTTTCATATCTGTTGTTAACTTGTGATACTAAGTAACATTTAAGCCAAATGTTTTTGAAAAAGAAAACATTTTTAAATGAAAAATTCCTTTTGTATATAAACATGCACATACATTATGTTCTATTCAGAAACATTGTAAGTGTAAACCAAGATGGGACACAAAGATATATTTGTCTAAATCATCAATGTAAGGAAACTATGTTGAATTTTTAAAGAATAAAAAAAACATTTTGTTTAAAAAACATAATCTCGAGGAAAAAACTAGTACTAAATATATGTACCCTATTGAAACGTATTCCTGCTGAGAGCCCAGAAAAATAGATAGGTTGAACTAAATACTGAATTCCAGAATCATATGGGAGGTTACACAAGATCATATTTAAAGTTCTGTTAAATCTTGATATTTTGTATTGTATTGTTATTTAACTTTTCAAGTATGTCTGTCTCATTTCTCCAAGCATTCACAATCCGCAGGTTTTGCATAAAGCAGGGTTTTTCTTTTTTTTTTTTTTAATTGAGGTAACATTGGCTTAAGCATGGTATATGATTTAGAGATGTGGGATCACACTCCTTCAGATGTCTGTTACTACACCTCATCCACCACCAAGGGGTTTCCACCAAAGTCTGTTGGGCTCCCCCCGCCCTAATAGTTTTAATTCCACAGTTATCTAGGGTTTGTTATTGGTTTGATTTTTTTTTTTTTTTTACGCTTTGTTTTGTTTCTCCTTGAAACTATGTGGTATTTTTAGTTTTCTTCCCCATTTATTTTGCTGGGCATAATCTCCTTCAGTTCTGTCCATGTTTCCATGTTGTTGCAAAAGTCAAGAATTCATCTTGTTTTGTAGCTGAGTAGTATTCTCCTGTGCATATCTACCACATCTTAATCCACTCATCTGCCCTTGGGCACTTAGTTGGTTTCCATAACTTGGCTATTGTAAATAGTACTACAGTGAATATAAGGAGTGCATCTATCCCTTCAAATAAGTATTTTGGCATTCTTCTGGTAGATGCCTAGGATTGCTGGATCATATGGTAGATTTATTTTTAAATATTTTGAGAAATCTCCACACTGTTTTCCATTGGGTCAGGACCAGTCTACCTTCCCATCAATGTATGAGGGGTCCTTTTCCCCCACAACACTTGCCATTTCCAATCTTTTTGACAAGGGCTATTCTTGCAGGTGTGAGATAATATCTCATTGTGTTTTTGATTTGCATTTCTCTGATAAGTGACAATAAGCTTTTTTTTCCATATGCCTTTTGGACTTTTGTATGTTTTCTTTGGAGAAGTGTCTGCTTCTCTCTTCTGCACATCTTTTTAATTGGGTTATTTGTTTTCTCTAGAATTTTCAAATGTCCTCTATTGATCTTTTTACACCATGCCTCTCCATTGCTTGCTTACTTTTTTAAAGTTTCAATTGCCATCTTCTGTTCATTAATTTTATTTCTCAGGACATTCATTTGGTTTGGTTTTGTGTGTGTGTGTGTGTGTATTTTCTTGTATATCTTTGATCAGTTCTTCTGGGTTTTCTTCCATTTCTGTGAAATTCTTTACCATAGCAATTTTGAAATCTGTATCTGATAGAAGGAAAAGATCTTCTATGTCTTTGAGGTTTGAGTCTGGAAAGTTGCTCTCTCCTTGTGGGACATATTCCCTTGAGGACACAGGACGCCAGATATTGGTGGTGGTATAATGGAGACCACAACTGCATTTTAAAGTAGGGTATTTCAGCCTGAACTCTGGTATCTTTTTGGGCTAGATGATTCTTTGTTTTTCAAGGTCTGGCCACTACACAGCAGTAGTGTGCTTGTGCACATACACACACGCCCATGCACATGCACACTTTAACAAAAATGTCTCCAAATATTGACAAATGTCCTGTAAGGATGGGAGCAATGTAGCCCCAAGTTGAAAATCACAGGCATAAAATAGTTAATTGATACTATTTCAACCTATTTCTGACTTCCATGGAATTTTTGCAATCTTTTCTAAAAGCAAGTAGAAATTGAATTTCTGTCTAGATATGATGCTTAACTCTCACATTATTATTAAGAGACTTGAAAAATGCAAAAAATATATTTATTCATGTTTAGATAAGCAAGAATTGACAAGGTACACAATCCTAGACAGGAAAACAGATATATATTCTAGATAAGAAAGTAAAAATTATCAACAGAGACCACCTATTGAAGTTTCTTAGAGTCCTAAATATGAAACCTAATTGAAAATGACCACATTATATTAATTTGCAATTATAGTTCATAAAAACATTATTGTGTTTCTAATAAGAAAGCATTTTTAATTAGAAAATGGCAATTAGGTATGTTCCATTTCTTCTGAAAGCAGGTATGTGATAAACTGAAAGCAGAGAGGGACCTAACCATATGTACAGGGGGCATCTCCAGTAGTAGGAATGCTGGTCAGTGTCTCCATGTGACAATATTCTTATGGCTCAATGACACATGATTGTATGTAGCCTTCCAGACCTTAACTAATATAAACTAAAAAGGAGCAAAGATTATAGTTGGCTGACTTGTCTCCAATTTCTAATTCTTAAGTGGAATGACCACACCAAAAACATTCTTTCCACTATATTCAAAGTGTTGGTTCAACAAGAAGTCCTTCTCTTAATGCTGACTGCCAAAATAGACTTAACAGTTTGAACTGCAAAGAGGTAGGGCTGTCACAGACCAAGTTTCCGTGACAACCATCTCTGGCAGGTCCTGGCCAGTTCTAAGGTATGGCATCCAGACTTGCATCCCCTCACTATGCAAAAATACAGTCCCCATTTATTTTTGAATTAATCAACTTCTTATTTATTTCAAAAGAGAGATGCATTTTCATAAGTCATTCACATTTATATATGATCATCTTGCTTTGATAAACCTCGTTATATTCAAATAAAGAAAAAATTAAAAGTGTATTGGAGTAAATAATTTGCTATATGAAAGATTCTTTTGCTTTGCAACAGAACTTGCCATATCACTCACTTAAATAGCAAGTTTTCCAGCATATTTAAATATGACTGTTATACCATTTCAGGAATATATATTTTGAGTAACAGGAGTCTGACTTGTGTATATTTCATGCATGAATTTTTGTTGTTTCTTTTCATTTTTGGCATGTGTGTCTTATGGGCACATTTGTTGGATATAAGAAACACAGTCCCTAGATTTATGAACAATTACAGAGAGGTAGTATGAGCACAGGCAATCTGGACCAGGTGACTTCTTCCCCAGTGACCTGAGAACCAGTGAGTGGCAGGTGGCATGACATGTCCTTCCAGATGACACTGGATGCATTAGTCCTACAATATTCTATTAAAAAGGGCCCACTTGTGGCCTAAGAATGTAATTATGACTTCTACAGCTCTATATCCCTTTGGCAAAGTCTGATTTCACTTTAATATCATAAAATAGTATTTTCAATGAGTAAAATATGTCTAATACTTTCTTACAAATAAAAGAAATTGGAATGAGTCACCAAAAATAAGTTTGAATGTTTAACTGATAAAACAATCAAATATATATTTAAGATCAGTCAATAATTCAACCAGTTGAAATACTATAAAAATGAGATAAAATGAATTACACAGAACTTTGTACAAAGAATGGATGGTGAGCTATGAGAGTGGCCTCAACTATGTCACTTTATTCTCATGGCAAATAGCAAGCATGTAGCTGGGCTGCCTTACCTCCAATAGAGATGATGGCATCGAAGCCCTGATCCCTAAAAGGGAGATTAAGGTTGTCACATACCATGACTTCACATCCTCTACTCCGGGCAATCTCTACCAATGGCCCACAGTAGTCACAGCCCAGGGTATGTACCTGGCTGTTCACCTTAAGATACTTTCCAGTCCCACAACCTACAAGAGAAAAACCTGTGTTATTTGCTAACCTTAGTGGAAAGTGGAAAATTGTTAGTTTGTCCTATAGCAAGAGATAGTGTAATTTTATATTAACTAGCATAACAGAATACAATGTGGTATGAAGGTATTCACAAAATCAGAGTGCGCTTACATATTTTCATACAGAATAAAAGAGGAAAGAAGGAATGGAAAAAATAATATTTAATGAGGTTGGCAGGCTAGCACAACCCACAAATGGCACTAGCCAGCAGGGATTGATAGTTCCTTAGCATCCTACGGATGGCGTATAGTCTCTTTACAAAAGCTGCCTTCACATATGCATTTCATTATGCATATCTATATCTTATAGTGTTATTCTCCAGTTAGCTTCTCCAAACATTCTTAGCACTTCCTGGCTATACAAAGTAGACTATTGTCAGCAACCTTTCAATGACCATAAGTAAAATAACTTATGTAATAAAACATGCTTTTTAAAATTTTTTTAAAATTTGATTTTAAATACAAAAAGGATTTCAACATTTTAAAACGTAGTCTACTGTCACTGCTAGGTTTTATAGTCTGTACTGATGCAGTATAAGAACTACTTTAAAAAAAAATTGACAGCCATTTTCTGATAGCAGCAACCCAAATAATTCAATATTTTACAGGCCAAAGATGTAAGTCATTCAGAGCTTACTGCTATTACAGCGAAGAAGGTAGTAACTTGAATAACCATCATGAAACAAAGCTGTCTATAAACCAAGTGTTATTTAATTCCTTTTCCACAAATACTAAGATATCATTAGAGCTTATATTTGTATCTTCTGGTATTCTATTCTGCTTGATATTCCCCCCCCCAAAATCTAGTTTATCCAAAAATTATTAGTTTGCACTGTCTGAAATACGTCATTAAATCACCATACTCTTTACTATTTCCTCTTCAAAAGATGCTAATGTTTCTTGATGCTAGCTGAAACAATGGACAGTGTATGAAACATTGTTTTTTTCAGTGTAAATGACGGGGGTATTATAAATAGTTTCAATCCCATAGTCACTGATTCCTAAGCATGCTTATGAGAAAAAGTATCCAATATTGGTGGGCAATCATGAGAAAATATAATTTTAAAAAATACTGTAAAATTGAAATCCTCAACATTTTAAAGATGATATATATTTTAAGAAAAACATCTTGTTAGCTCATTTGCCTTTTTGAAATTGGTTCAGGGGATAGGTTTAGAGAAATGGAAGGGAAACTACTCCTAGATACTAATAAAAACAGGTGCATAGGCCATTAGAGTTAGAAGTACTATCTAGAGAGCACCTGGTAGTAATGAAGAAACTGAAGACTTTTCAAATCTCAACATCTCCTGAAATGTTCCTAGTGTTGTTGGCACACTTGATTTATCCTGTATTCGTTCCCAATGGCATTTATTTTTAAGGATAGTAGTGGAACTCCTAAATAAGATGCAATTATTCATTTCTCTAAGTGCAAATACAGAAATGTTAGAAAGGGAAGATTTTATCCTAATGAGATCAAAACTATTGCCAGGCATAGTCACCCCATTATCTTCAATGTGCAAGAAATAAATCAGAACACTTAGGTACTGTAGCAGTCTCCATGATTGTAACTATCATGCCTCCCTACAAAATCTCACAATGATAACCTTTCATAATAGTGAAGCTAGAACAGTGTCTGCATGTTTACATTCCCCTCTGTTTTGTATTCTGCATCACACTATGACTAAAGAGGGAAACATTTAATCACATTGAATTATTTTAACTCTAGAAAATATTTTGGCCAAGGTAGGCAAGAATTTGCTGAAAATAACTAAATCTGAGTGCTCCCTCTGAACTTTGCAGAAACAACTAAATTTTTAAAATTTGAGGTCTTCACTAAGACCTTATCTGAAGAAAATTATCTTTCCCTATGGGAAAAGAAATATATACCCTATTTATTTTCCATTTCATATAACTTTCTTGAGGCCAGAAGCAAGATAATATTTTTTTAATTATTATTTTTTTTAAATTTCATATATTTTTACATTATTTTTCATTTTGCACAATGTATGCATTTCCCCCTTGTTTTGATCCTATTCCCTCCTTCCCCACCCGCCGTAGTGTGTCTCTGGTTAATAGTTGCTTGTTGATTTTGATTTTGATTTTATTATAATTAGTCTTTTTCCTGGTTCCTTAATTACGTTTTCTAAATTCCTGCTATGAGTGAGACCATCTGGTATTTTTCTTTTTCTTTCTGGACTACTATGTTTTCATTCTGCAATGGTTTCTGCCACATAGTCGGAGTGCTGAATTTATGGCCTCAATAAAAGGCTGATAATTAAACTGTGACTTAGTAAATTATATCTGACCACAGAGATGGGGATTAAATGCACTGAGAGTTAAGTAGCAAAGGTAATCTTAATTTTGTTATAAATTAAAAAATAAAATGTTTTAAACTATTAGGACAATTGTTTCTGATAGCAGGCAAAAAGATAGCCTTGTTCAAAAAGAAATTAGCTCTGCCTTTTCTCCTGCTTTCTAAATTAACCCAAGTAAAAATTTCAAGTCATAGAATGCCCACTATACACATCTAATGATCTGAAGTTGACTAGTCCATTTCAGGTGGAGGCATTGCCACAGTTACACAGACCCCAGTACTACCTGAGATCCTCTGCATCACTGAAGCCTTTTCATTTAGGCTGCAGTTCTGATTCACTAATTCCTGATCCCTGCTCCCAAGACTGAAGTTCAATCAAGAGCCATTCTCACACATTTCAGCAAGTCAACTTGGGTGAGGAATTGGGTGATACAGTTAATGAAACCACAGTCAAGTCAAAGAAAAGTTGTGCCTCTAAAATAGTGAAACAACCTAGAGAATTTCTGCGGCAACAACAGGAACTCAATTACCTCTAGATGATTTTTACTTATGTATAGATTTATTAGTAATTAATTATAAATTCCTAACCTAATGACCAGTTAGTTAACCAACACAACAAATAGTTGGATGACTTTAGCCAAGTGAAAAACCTAGAAGGATAAAACTCCTTTTGGAGATCCTCATATTATCCTATTTTCTTTTCTTCTAATCCCTTTGGGTTTCTTTCTTTTCACTTATTTCTTTTTGTGTTTCAATTTTGTTTTAATAAAATAAATTTTACACAAAATTTCAATTTGTTTTAAAACATCTTCCATTGTGCGGTGAAGATACTGAAGATACTACTTATTTCACCTATTGGAGAATAAAAACTGGAAATAGTACAATTCAAAACATATAAATAGGTAAAGGAATATTTACTACAGTTAACTATTTTCATAGAGGTGCTTAATGAATCTTATTTATACCAATATTAATAGTTGCAAAATATAGCAAACAAACATAAATACCTGTTAATATGGAGCTATTAGCATAAAATACTATGCAGGTTTTATTAGCCAATTTTATAAGCACAAACAAGAAGTGATCTCCAGGATGTATTAAAAGAAACAAAATCTAAGTATATGAATGTATAATTCACTACTATTTCTGGGATCAAAAAGGGAAAATCCACCCATAAAAACATTCATATGCGCAAATATGCTTATGGCTGTGATGTGCTTCCTGGACAAAAGATGCATCAAATAAACTTTGTTCAGACATGAGTTGTGTTGACCGTGATTTCAATGTTAGTGAATCAACAATATACAGCAAGTAAGGTGTCTTTAAACAGAAACATACATGAAACAAGGTGAGGTATTGAACAGTTGGTAAAAGATGTTGCAACCAGAAGCTCATAGGAACCTAATTCTACATTTTCCGTACGAGCACTGATTTAGTATTCACTAGTTCAGTGTTCATGACAACTTTACAGAACATAAGTGCGGTGAAAAATGACAATCATCTGTATATTCTTTTTATGATTTCTTTCTTTGGCAGCATATATAAAGAGGCCTTTTGCCTCAAGAATATTTTTTAGTAGTTTAGTTGTTATCTAGTCCTTTAATAATTATTTTGCTATATTTAAATCTTTTTTTAATTTTATTTTTGTATTCCCTATACAATTGCAACCCCCTTATTTTACCCAATCCCTCCTTTCCATGCCTCTCCCCTCCCTGCCCTCATAGTGTGTCTCTGGTTCATAGTTGTTTGTTGATTTTGATTTTTTTTTCTTATAGTTATTTTTTTTCCTGATCCTTTATTTAGGTTTTCTAGATTCCTGCTATGAGTGAGACCATCTGGTAGTTTTCTTTTTCTTTCTGGCTTATTTTGCTGAGCATGATCCCTTCCAGCGCCATCCATGTTGCTGCAAATTGCATGTGTTTATCTTTTTTGAATGCTGAGTAATATTCCATTGTGTATATGTACCACATCTTTATTTCATTTAAAATTTGTGGTATAAGGTATGAGAAAACAGGTATGTGCATACCTGCATGTGTGTATAGATTGTGTGTGTATATAGTTGCCCCAAAGCCATTGACTGAATAATTCCTTTTCCTGCAATTGATTTTAAGATCCTGGTACATACTTTGCTTAGATTTTGGATAGCAAGAATTCCAAAGTCATTGCATCTTCTGAAACCAGATTTGTCACTTAAAAATTGACAAGACAGAGTTATTTTTCAAAAACTATCCATTTCTGCATGACATGTACACCTTCCATAAATTCCACACTGTTCATTTCTTCTTTAACAACCCCCAAACCTGGACAGGTAACTTTCTCTTACCAGTATTTAAAGATGAGTATAAATTAGACAAATGTAGGATTCTTACAGGTGCTGTCTTCATATAGTTGCTAGAACACAGTTTTAGGTAGGCATAACCAAGGTGGGACTCCAACCACATCTTAAACCTTAGCGTGAGATCTATTGGGCTATGGTTTACTATGTCTCAATTCAGAAGAGAACAGAATCAGTCTCCCAGGCAAAACAGTGATTATGATAATATAAAATGATTAAATATATGCTATAATAAGAAGACCCTGACAGAATAATTAAGGGAAGGGGTGCATTAAATTATTAAGAGGCTGTAGAACCTTCTCTATGATTTCACAGTTCTGGCTTTTCCTCCAAAGGCATGAAAATCACTTAAGATGAGCCACCAAAACACTGTATTTACAAATATGACTGTCTCTCAATGAAAAATGGTCAATTTCACAAGCAGTCATTTTAATCCTGATTTTTTCAATCAGTGTCAGGTTTATTTTGTTGCAGATGTGCACAGAGCTTCTGAAAAGACTGCTGCAGTCCAATATAGAATGTATAGGAAGTACAGGAAGTTTTCTACTTGGTGGCTTACCGGCAAGAATTTCTGCCACAAAGTGATTAATCTGGGTTTTAGCATGCCAAAGACACAGTTTCAGACTTCTGCTTAAAGCAAAAATGAGCCTGAAAAGGAAAGACACAAGGGGATATATTTCAGGCTGTGTGGCAAAAGTGTGGGTTACCTATGTCAGCGATGAGGCTGCCTGGCTTCTGCTCCTGGAGGAACTGGCGGACCCGACGCCAGGCTTTGCTCTGTAGATCACTAATGAAAGGAGCAGTGCTCTCATATACTTCATGCACATGCTTCTTCTCCAGCTGGGCGGCTTCATCCTGGGAAAAACAGAAAACCACCAGAGGGCCAAGGTCAGATTGTGCACCAGAGGCGCTGAAAGAGCAGACTTACTAAAATGGGAAACCAGCAACTTCAAAGGTTGTGCTGTTTTTATATTCTGTTACTAGCTGCAAAGAACAAAATCATCACTGTAATTTCACCATTGTTGTCAAAAGACAAGCAGATGCATTATTTTTACTTGCAAATCTTTAGAAAATGATGGTTTGGGGAAAGAATGATCTTTGTAGATTCCTGTGCAAGATCAATTCATTTTGGAAGTATATACAAAAATCTTTTTTTTTTTTTTCAAGATTTATTTATTTATGCATCCAAGAACTGGGGTACAGGCCAGAGGTGTGGGGGGGGGGTGAGAGGATTCACCAGAGACCGAATGGGGAGCAGAACAGGCAGAATGACTGAAATATACTGCTGAGGGGTCAGTGGGCGAGTCAGGAGAGGTCTGCTGAGCCATGTGGTTAGCTCCCTGGCTGGGGAGCGACCTTGTGCTGCAGTGGCTGCGGAGAGCTTCATTGGTTGTGTCTTAACCCCTTGCATCACCTGGGAGGCCCAGTATATACAAAAATCTTACTGCAGGTTCACTTTGGATAAAATCTATCTGATGCTGAATAGATTGAAAATCTCTAATGGGTAGCGCATCATTTTAACGCACTAACTACACGCTATTGATTCTACCTTTTTTTTTTTTAATTGAGGTAATAATGGTTTACATAGTTGTTGGTATTTGGGGAGTATAGTGTCTCTCCTTCAGGTGTTATTACCATAAAGCACCCACTACCAAGCACCCACAGTCCTCCACTATAGTCCATAGTGCTCCCTTCCCACTTTGTTCTTGCCCCTCCCCCTCCTCCTGTTTTTGGATCCCAACAATTTCTACATACTGTTACGATTCTATTTTAGAAAAGTGTTCATTTCTTGACTGAATTGTTTCAGCAGTCTATAAATAGATTTTTCTTTTGGTCCTACAGTCCCTTTCTTTCAATTATGCCATATGTATCTTCTGAATAACTGCAATGCTTCCTATTACTTAGATTTATTTAAAGGCATTTTATAGCTTGTCTGATCAGGTTCAGGTGTCTTGGGAGAGCATAAAAGGCTCTTTCTGACCTGGTCTCAACTACCTCTTGCTGCTGTTTCTCACCATCCTTCCCCAGCATCAGATGAGCCTGCAGTACGCAACATTCTATGTAGTGGTGGTTTTTTTGTTTTTTTTTTTTTCCCCAGAGGCAACACAATCTGTCAGCCCTAGGCCTGGCTAACCTCTACTCATTCTTGGCATAGCTTCAAGCCTGCCAGAAAGCTCTGAAGCTTTCTTTGACCTTCCCACTGGACAAGGACAATCAGAAAGGGGCAGAAAATATATTAAGAGCTGATTGTATGTTTCAGGCTTGGTCTTTCAATTATTCACTTATGGCACATAAGTGAGGAATATCCCAGGGAAGTAGTTGGGTGCCCAGATAGTGACTTTTCATCAATCAATATAAAAGTATTTTCAATCACATTTAAGAAACTATTTGGCTCTATTTGTACATATCAGCTAGTTCAGCCCTGCCCTTCGACTCATATTGCATCCCATGCATATCTCTGCAGATTACAAAAGGCTGTAATAGTCTCTCAGATATCATTCTCTAGCACCAGCTGGAAGGTCCTAGAGAACAAGGGTTTGTGTGACTTAATGCTGACTCCCTAGTACTTAATGCTGACTCCCTAGTACTGCAGACTTTCAATAGATGAACAAACAGAAATAATCAGAACCAGAATGGGATCTAACTCTGAATACAGAGGGTAGCATGGGCTTTGGTATTGGTAGAAGGAGCAATGAATTTTGTGGTAAGGAAAGGGAAACTGTGCTGAAAAGCTTGTAGATGCGAGGTTGGTAAAAGAAGGGATTGTCCCTTGACAACCTCTGAGACCTGTCCTCACCACCTCTTCTCCCACCCTGAGAAATAAGAAGCAGCGGGGTGAGATGTCTGATTAGTTACTCCACTATAAAATATCTTCCCTCCCCCGCTTAGTATTTAAGAAATATCTTGTAGAGATACTTTCAGATCACATAGATACCTTGTTTATCACACTCTCATCCAATTCTAGCAGCTCTTTTGGGCTCTTGCCCAAAGCAATTATTACTACAACTGTTACCAAATGGTGATAATTCTAATTCCTTCATTCCTTCTTGCAAGGAAGAGCTTTATAGGATTTACTCTTAAGAAAGCAAACTAGCAGTAGGTTTTCTGAATTACAATGGAACTGCCCACAGCCCCTGCACAAAATCTGGCAAACTCCTAACAGAGTACAAATCTCATTTGTGAGGTCTGACAAAACTTCCACCCAAATTGAAACAGCTTATATTGCACCCTCAACTAGAATTTACAAAGTAAACATATGGCTGGCTATAACTGCCTACACACAAGAAAACCCAGACAGTGAGTGCTTTGCTTTTTAATCAAAATCTCAGTAGAGTTAAATTTATTTATATTTTTCTCCTCAAGGAATTAATCAGGAAATACAAGTCAAAGAATCCTAGGACAAATACAATTTGCTACACTGTACCTACAAATGTTAAGTGACCATGAAAACTGAGTTGTAGAACTGGGACTATTCAATATGACATTTTTGAAATTCTGTGGATTTATATTTCAGCAACATTTCCATATGATTTATAGATACAAACAAGTATCTTGTGAGTTTGGTCATGTGATTAAGCTAGTAAGATTAGTATTAAAATGAGAATGCAGGGTTCCCAGTGAAGAAAGGATAATACAATTTAGTTTACCCAGGCTTCCTTTTCTGTATGCTGTCAATACCACTCTCATAAAATACTCCAGATGAAAAAGGTCAGTAGTTCAAGGTGCATTTTGTATGCCTCCTGTGAGGGATATACACATGTACAGGTTTTGAGAAATCCTGCAGATAGAGTCCTAATTGATCTACAATTTTAAAAGATCACTCTAGGTGATTGTTTTTACTTGTCCATCACCACCCTTTTTCTGATAACTTGTATCTTGCCCTCCAATGGATGGATGTCTTACCAGGTTGGGCCAGTCATGGTATCCCATAGCCATAAGACACAATCATTGGATCAGAGGCAGTGATATTTGGCATTTTCAACTGTGTGGGCGGTTAATTTTCTTAATCTCTGCATTGTTCAAGGGTCAACTATATGTGTGTGTGTATATATAATATGTATATATGTATATGAATACATATATATGTATTCAACAACTCATTATAAGAAAGGTTGACTATCTAGATTATGAAAAAGTAAAAACTACCAGTCCTATTAGAAGATAACTTGTTTCTGTGTAAGTTTGTCCTATTTTCTTCTTAATAAATAGTAACATTTTTCTTTCCTGACATTAAAAAATCAGAGAAAACTGAACCACTGCTGTATCCCACTTTTTAAAGCCTAATTTAATATTGGGAACCAAGTAGTAATTTTTGTCTATGACCTCCTCCAATCTTCCCAAATATAAACTCCCTAATTCCTATATTTCATAGAACATGAAATATTTTGTATTTTACAAATTATTATAGTGACTTAATATCTCTACTAGATTCTAAAGTTCTATAGAAGAGAGTTTTCATGTACAACATTGTTTAGTCCTTTGGATCTAGCTCTAGACTTATATAATAGGTCTAAATATCTTTAACGAATAATGAGTAATAAATGTGAACAATGAAAAATAACTAGGAACATTTATCAAAATGACATGAAAGTAGCTAATATTGAGTAGATAAATTGTACTGGAATGGCTTAATAAAATTTAATAACATTGTCTTAAATAGTATATATTTATTTAAGCCACCATAATCAAAGTTGACTCCTAAAATGTTTATAATTTTTTCAGGAACAAGGTGAAATCATTCAATTTAGTTCTGGGAGGAAATATTGTTATGTTGTATAGAAAAAACCTAATTTTTTGTTTTATTTTTAATAGCTTTATTTAGGTATAGTTGACATACAACAAACTGCACAAATGTAAAGTGTACCAATTGGTAAGTTTTGACATTGTCTAAACCTATAGGAAACCATGAAGACATGTTTTGTAAGTAAAAACAAATGTAAATATCGGATATTTTTCTCTAAGTTTAAATGCCACAGGCGATAAAGTATTTTAAAAAGAGAGATAGCATAAAATTGCTTTAAATTTCAAAGACAAAGTCAAACTGTAATTTGAAAGTAAAAATACAAATTGGTCAGGACAGTTCAAAGACTTTATATTATAAAAAACTTCACTATAAAATACATATTTAAAAAAACTTTTTAAAGTGTGATACTTAGAATCTACATGTTATTTTCACATACAAATTATACTACAAATTTTTGTATAACTATCATCTTACAATATGTTTGTCTTATAAATGCATTTTGTTCTCTAAAAAAATACTAAATCTATTCTTGTTCTTTTAACTTACTCTGCATGACAACTATTATTCACATTCCTTTTTGTACTTCGAACAAAATAAACTCCAACTTACCTTCCATCCATTGTAACAAAGTTAAAATGATAGAATTGGAACTAGTTAGGTTTACTGAGTATGCACAGCTTCCCCAAAAGCTCATATTATTTGAATTGTAGTAATAGCCAAAAGCTACTAACCTGAGTCATCTTGTGATGACAGGAAAATCACTTTTCTTTGTGAATTGAGGCAGTTTCCACCCTCAAAGAGTGACAGTTGCTTCTTGTGACTTTCTCAATGCAGAATGCACATATAAAGCAGTAGTAGTGAAATCAAATAGTGAGGTCCTTCACATGATGACTCACTTCACATGAAGGGAATACAGACCCTATTAGGAAAAACATAAACGTTAAATGTCATTTTGCATAATAAAAATACTAAATCAGCTACAGCTCAAGTTGGTCTTTTAACCTATGCATACATTCCCAGAAAATAGAGATGAAAAAGAACTGTTAACCTGTAGAGCTTATCAGAATTATAAGAGCAGTTTATAAGTCAGTACCTAAGCTTTCTGTAAGACGTAACAGTATTTTCTCCCAGAACTGAATTGAATGATTTCATCTTGTTCCTGGAAAAATCATAAGTATTGAGAGTCAACTTTGATTCTGGTGGCTTAATTAAATGTATATTAACTAATATAATGTTACTAAATTTTATTAAATCATTCCAGTACTATTTATCTGCTCAATAATTGCTCATCTCAGCTACTTTCATGTTACTTTGATAAGTGTTCCTAGTTCTTCTTCTTTTTTTTTTTTAAACATATTCTTTTTTTCTTTTTTTTTTTTTTTAAGATTTATTTATTTATTTATACAAGCGCTGGGTACAGTCAGAAGCACAGGAGTGTGAGAGGATTCACCAGAGCCAGAGCAGGAAGCAGAGCAGGCAGAAGGACAGAAGTACACTGCTGAGGGGAGCAGCGGGCGGCAGGAGAGGTCTGCGTGCCATGTGGGACCCTTACCCGGTGGCCGGGGAGCAGCCGGGGATCGAACCAGCGCTGCAGAGGCTGCGGGCAGCTTCGCAACCCAGCGCTCAACCGCTGCGCCACCGGGGAGGCCCCTTATTCTTTTTTATAACTTTGTTTCTTTTTTAAAATACAGTGGGTCTGTCATGAAATCCATCAAAGGGCATTTAGTTACAAAAAAGGGATCTTTTATGCCAAAAAGCACTTTGTGATATAGAGGTCATGCGTATAGAATGAAAAGTGAAGAAGGCCCTGTAATACTTGGGGCCTCATCCCAGATGCATCTGAACATGGATCAGAGTTCTCAACCATTTCCCTAGTCTTTTTTTTTTTTTTTTTTTTAAGATTTATTTATTTATTTATACAAGCACTGGGTACAGTCAGAAGCGCGGGAGGGTGAGAGAATTCACCAGAGCCAGAGAGGGGAGCAGAGCAGGCAGAGGGACCGAAGGACACTGCTGAGGGGAACAGCAGGCGGCAGGGGAGGTCTTCGCGCCATGTGGGACCCTCCTCCTGCCAGGGAGCAGCCGGGGATCAAACCGGCACTGCAGAGGCTGCGGGCAGCTTCGCAACCCAGCGCTCAACTGCTGCACCACCAGGGAGGCCCATTTCCCTAGTCTTTAGGACCTTTGTATACCTAGTGCCACAGATTGCACCTCATATCATATACAGTGATTCTCAGGATAGTGTGGTGGGCTTACCCCAACTCCCCCCATACCCTATCTCACCCCAATTTTGGTTCCTATTTAAGAATCACTAATCTGGGTTGCTTTAGAAAGCTTCTCTCTGGTCTTCTCTCTTGGAATTTGCTTACAAGTTTGTAACCCCAGTCATCTCTCAATCACGTGCAGGCGTATGATCTGCAGCACTGAAAACCACAAAAGTTGACTTTGTAGGATGAACACTTAAGAAGCATCTTGAAACAATTACTAGTCAAAGAATCTCATCTTTTCTTTCATAGTTTAGAACCTGCATTAATCATGAAAGAGATAATGTTTGTTTACTGAGCACCCAAGTGCTAATTCCCCAAACTAAAAGCTTTCCTTTTGGATTTACACTTCCTTGCCCTGATCTATAAGTCCCATTGTCTGTGTACCTTCTTTTCAGGCATTCATGTCCAAATGAATTATCTCTTTCAGACATGTTAGCCAGATAGTGTAGCAAATGAAAAAAAATTTCGATAGTGCAGAAGGCATTTGTGATTATGTGGTAAGTGCAGGGCAGGAGGCTTTTCTCTATCTCTAAATAATAAGCCCTAAAACACCTTTATACATAATTGACTTGCCATAAGTTTACTAAATTATGATCCAGTTTGTCTCAGTCTGAATTATATAATCTTCTTCAAGAAGTTTCTGGGAAAAGACAAAATAGGCTAGTATCTAAAATTTTTCAGATGAGTCCTTTTTATTTCATTAACCATATATCTTGGGTGTAGTTAGTATTAAAAAAATGCATTTTTTTTCCCTTTTCTTCTCGAATAAGTAGGAAGTCATCTTTTAGGGCAAAGGTTTATAACTCAAATCTTCTGAAATTTTGAGCTTAGCTTTATGTGAAGAAGGTCAGCACCTCAAACTATGGCTCTGGGGGAAAGCCAGTTTTTTGGAAAAAAAAAATTTTAGATTAAAGTAAAAATACACCTCCATTCAGTTAATGAATATTATTTAAATTTCCAGTGTGTGTAAGGCACTAGGGATAAAGATAAATTGTTACCCCCATTCAGGGATGCAGAATTTAATATAAAAGATAGAACATTAGAATATAATAGAAGCTTTACTTTGGGGAAAGATCCCTCATAAGGACTTCTTATTCCTCAAACTTATGCCTTGCCTTATTTAATACTAATAAATGGATAATATGACATATTTATCTATTGATTAATATCTATCAATATCTATCTGCCTGTCTTTAATCCCATTACAAATCACTAAATGCCATGTACCTTTAGGTTATCACAAGTATTCAAAACCACAAATGCCAAGAACCCATATCAGGTGGGATGGATGTTGTGATCCAGATGTGGGAAGATGTTATAGGAGCATGTAGGAGAGGCAACTCACACAGCCTCAGCAAGAGAGGGGCAGTGAAGGCTCGCTGGAGAGGTTAACATCTAAGCTGGAGCTCAGAAGACAGTGGGGGGAAGCCAGGTGTTCCAGGCATAAGCAAAAAAGAAGACATGAGACCAGCTACAATCTCTCTGATGAACTTAGTAAATTAGTAACGACAGCACAACACACACGCACATGTTCATGTACAAACATATTATTTACTATCATCCATGTCATTATAACCATTTAATTTATATTAACTCATTGAATTTTCCCAGTAAGTCTATGAAATAGGCACAACCAGTTCCTGCTTTTTACAGATGAGAAAACTGAGAACCAAAATGATTTTCTAAGATTGCATAGCTAGTATATGGCAAAACCAGGATTTGAAACCAGAATATTAGATTCCAGAATTTACACTGTTAACCCCACTGTTGTTAGCTAGGGCGAGAGCAGGAGGGGCAGCTGGTGCTATCATTGGCTGGAAGAGTAGATAGATCAACTAACTACAAAGATTAATTTATTCTCTTGAAAATTTTCAAAGACTACATGTCTAAACTGACTTCATTTAAGGAGTAAGACATTATCTTCAAAATCCAAATAAAGGAAATGAAGGTGATATAAGATCTGGGTGTGTGTATGTGTGTGAGGGGTGTCGGTGGTTACAGGAGGTGAATACAAAAAGCAGGAAACAGAACTCACACTGCATGATATTGATGATGAACTTTGTTAACAAAGGTTATTCTTGCACAGGCGACTGGGAGGCCATATTCATTGTAACCCTGATGATTTTGTAGATCAGAGGATTCCAGAAAAGAATAAGGAAATCAAATATTAGCTTTAAGAAAAATGAAAATATTACTTAGCTTCCCCAGATATTTGCTGTTGGTATTAATTTGACAAAATGAGCCTCAGTCTAAGATAAAGGTAATGATGTCCTTGGACAGCAGTTTGGAAGAAGATTATTCTGATATTAAAAAAGGAAATAAGCAAACTAATGACAAACCCTAGAAATCTGACTGTAGAACTGAGGATACCAGGATTGGGAGGCAGGAGTGAGAACAGACTGGAATGGGCTGTAGTGGAGGACTGTGGGTGCTTGGGTGGTGGGTGTAGTGTGATAGCAATGACTGAAGTAGGAGGGGAAGTGGAGACAGAGAGAAAGAGAGACAGATACACAGGGAAGGGACATCCAGAGATATCAAAAAAATCTCTTTAAAGCCTTCTGACATCTGGGGAGGTGAGAGGGATTGGAGATGGAATCAGTGGTCAATAGTCAGTGATTCAATCAATCATGTCTATGTAATGAAGCCTCTATAAAAACCCCAAAGGGTGGTGTTCCAAGAGCTTCCAATTTGGTGAACAAATGGATTTGCTTGGGTATGGAAGCCCTGTGCCCTTTCTCATACCTTATCCAGAGAGTCTCCTCCATCTGACTGTTCCTGATTTACATCCTTTCATGATAATCAGGTGATCTAGTGAGTAAAATGTTTCTCTGAGTTCTTTGAGCTGCTCTAATAAAATTAATCAAATCCAAGGAAGAGCGACCTCCCATCCAAAGCTTGCTGGCCAGAACCCTTGATGACAAGCTGGACTTAACCTGGCACCTGTCTGAAGTGGGGGTGGGGGTGGGGGGAGTCCTGTAGGACTGTATCCTTATCCTGTGGCATCTGACACTGTCTGCAGGTAGGCAGCTTCAGAATTGAGTTGGATGTATAAAACATCCGCTGCTGTTGGAGAATTGCTTGGTAATGTGTGGAAGCCCTCCCTTCCCCACACTGGCAACTGGTTGCAGAATCATATGTATATTTTGATACAACTTTTAAATACAACAGATTTCAGCCATTTCTTCTGCAGATCCTACTTGGGCAGCAACTCATTGCAGAACACGAGAATAAAAGCCACCTAACATATTTGAGACTGTGCCCATCCCTCCCTTCTCCACACTGCTATACGTGCAGTGTTCACAAGCTCTGTAAATGGCATTTCTTTCCACGTGGTTCTGCAGACAGGGTGCCCCCAGCAGAGCCTGAAAGGTCAGAGGAGGGAACAGGGACCAGGCCTTTCTGGTTGCTTCCTGTTCCTGCCAGAGCTACCAGGCAACCACCCTTACTCAAGCAGCAGCACTTGTTAATGGTGGTTGGTTCCCAAATGTTTGCACACTTCCAGACACAGCCTCTTGCATGCCCCTAAGAGATACCTGCAACAGGCAAGCCAACATCCAGGCCACGAGATCTGTGTCCAGCTCCCCATGTCCCCTGCCCTGAGCTCTGGAGGTAACAGCAGTAGCTGGCCAGCATCCCCTTCTCTGAGGTCCAG